CAAATATGCCGTAGTCTAAAAAATATTTATATAGAAAGATCATTTGACATCAAAATGTGTCAAGATTTAGTCATCGAGATTTTAACTGTAGTAATGTTCTTAATAATTTGATTATATTTCAATTATTTTTTTAACTCTGTGATTACGTGTTTTTCTAAAGAAATGCAACAATCAATTGGTAAAAAAAAATATGCTTTATTTTTGTATAAGTATCATCAGGGCCGATTCTAGCAGGAGTGCCACGCGGGCAGCCGAAGGCCGTACATGGTGCAATCAATCAAGCAAAATTTATTAGAATTTCTCAATAAAATTTATAATATAAGTCGAATAAATATGCTGAACTCTAAACAGTTATTGAAAAATCAAAATAAATCCCGATTACTCGAGCATATTTTTTTTTTTTTTTTTAAAAGCCGCCTGTCCGGTATAGTGGTTAGCGAAGGGTTCGAATACCGGAGAAGGCATGAATGTTTGTAAATGTATAGTGCCTTTGCGGCATGGGGTACTCTAAATAGTCGTTGAGCCCCAAGTCCACTTGCGATGTTAGTGGAAGGGAAAGAGAGGTGGGAGGCCCTGACACCGCTTGGGTATTCTCCCACAAAATTGGGATGGAACCGAGCTAAATAGTACTGTCACCTACATAGTGTTCAAGGCTACGGCTAACGACAGGCGTACATCTAGCCCCTTGCCATGATGAATTTCGGGGGCCAGAATCTGACGCAGTCGAGATCATGTGGAATAAGAAACAACAACAACAAAAAACTAGAATGATAGTGCGCAGTGTGTTGTTCCACATTGTCCATTAATATCTACTCTTTACACACATCCTTCATTTTGTAGCAAAATTGGTGGCAGAGCCGGCAATACCACAAAAAAAGTTTTTTTTTGCTTATCAGCGTACTGAGTATCGATACTTCACAAAGGCATCTCAGAAATGATATGTGAAATTTGCCTCGAAAATATGTAATATGGTTAATATTATCTAAGAAATAAGAGAGTTTAAATTCAATTATGCATTTTTGGAAAATTAAAAATTTTCAATTTAATGATAGCCTTACAATTTAGGAAAACAAAATTGTAGAAAGAAGGGATTTTCGAGTCTATATGCAGTTTTATTATTGTTTTACTTGTATACAGGCAGATGAGTTTATAACATCAACGTTAAGAATTAGTCAAAATATGAAAAATTCTCTAGAGGGGCGGCACATTAGGTCTTTGCACGCGGGTGGCCGGCCGGCACCCTAGGATCAATCCTGAGTATTATTTTAGCCCAATACGAATTCTAAGAGAAATGTATCATTGCTATAGCTTAGTTAAAATTATTAAGAATTTAGAATAAATTAACAGCAATCGATTTCAAAATTAGAGACACAGAATAAATTATTCTTATTCTGTGAATTCCCTCTATAAATAAATGAGTTTAATGGCAACTCTGAAGACTGGAAAATATTCAAAGTAATGCATCTAAAAAAGTTCTCTCAAGTTCTTTGATCAGTATTTATTTGATGCAAATAAAACGACATTTTTTATCTATCAAGGATCAAACTATCTAATAATGGAATTTCATTATTTAATGTAAGAATGCATTTTATGCAAAATAATTTTTAAATATTTCCTCTAATTCTTAGATTACTATCTTATTCATTTTTTGACGCAATAAACCTTTATTTAGAATACATTCCCTCGTAAAAGAATAAAAAAAAATACACACTGTTTAATTTCGTCATTATGCTGGTTTATTTTTACATGCTTCGTTGGATGTTTCAATGTGTGCAGTCGAAGTAATTTAATTTCAGTTATATCAAATAACTAGAGATATTTTTCTTGTTCTTATCTTTGTGCACACACCATTCTTCTTTTTCTTTTGCATTCTGACGATATTTAACTGTATTTATAACTCAAAGAACAAATTTTTCCTGGCATTTAAAAAGGGGATTTGTTGTTTTTTACACATCAGAAATCTTTTATTTTCTTTAGATATTTATTTTCGAATCATTATGAAAGGCGTATGAAAATATTGATAAAATGAAATAGTGTTTAGCTTAACTGACATTTTTCTTTTTGAAGTAATATATTTGTATCTACTAATTCTATATATATATATTCAATTCCTAATATTAGTTCACTTTCTCCCTGTATATATATATACATAGTTCAAATTTTCAATCTTCAGTACAATACTTTCTATTCATCCATTGAAGTTCAAATATATTTCTTTAAACTTGTAATGTATGACACTTGATATGTTTTAATACAGTTTTTTCAACTATTAATTCATTCATTAAATTCTACTTTTTTATTTTAAATTTATTCTGCGTTATTTCTGATGAAGTTACAATTAATTGCAACAGATGGCGCCAGTACGTTTTTCTAACGAAGTAGGAATTGACTTCACACTCTAAAGCAACACGAGGGCTACTATTTGCAGAATGCCCAAGGGAAACGAGCTCACCCGAAAAGTGTTTAGAGCTACAAACCGATCCCCCGGGAAATAGCCACCTCCGCTTTCAGTCTTTATTGAACAAAATCTTAATTTACATTTTTAACAGCAGTACACGGTAAATTTACATAATATACATGTAATCCCATAACACAAATATACAAAACTAAAAATAATAAAAAGAAAACATAAAGAGAAAGAGAAGGGGGAGGGGGAAAGAAATTAATTATTCAGCATTCTTTCTGATAATGTAATTAAAATAATAATATAATGCACCGTACAGACCCCCTCCCCCAAAAAAATAATAAATAAACTGAAAACATTAAAAAAAAGTGTTTTTCAATTCCTTTATTTCAAATGATGCGACCACTTCCTGTCTGTCGACCTCGATCTTTTAAACCTTTGTCAAGTGACGTGGACAACATACAAGCTAGCAACCCCTTCTCCAAACTTCCACTCCACGCCAACGTAAGGGCTCTTTGAGGCTCAACAGATTTAATGTGCGGCAGCCTCCCTCCCGCTACACGGTGGGTCTTCAGTGGCACTATACTTCGAACCCGTGACTCGATAACACCGGTCACGAGTTTGCGACCATGACTCGACCATTCACTGAATCTACTCAAATGATTACTTGTTAGCTAATGAAAGAGGCATCTATGTACACACGCCTCCAGTGAAATTTGGCCGATTTGAACAAATATTTGTCAGCAACAAAAAAAAAAAAAAAGAGTGTGTGTGCTTATGACCACATCATACAAGTGATGACTTCAAATTTTGCAATGTTATTTCAGGGATTAACAGGTGAAAAAACAAGGGGATATTAGTATAGTCTTATAAAATTATTTATTCATATGTCTGTACTCATAAAGTAATATTTTTTGAGAAATATACAATCACATTTGTGAATTGATTGTATTCTAAGAAGAAAACAATAGGTTTATGGTAGCTGAAATACGTTATAAATACTTTAGATTCAAAATTATTTAAATATCTAAAAAAAAAAAAACTCTCCCAAGCGCTTTTCGGTGCTTTGTCGTGTTTTTTTTTGGATCATTTGACATAATTAAATTGAATTTTGATTTTAAAAAATCTACTAAAGGCTTTGTTTTGTCTTTTGAAAAATCGACATAAAATCTCCACTTAAAATAATAGGCAATTTGTTCAGAAGAGTTGATCCGGCTTCAGTATAGGCAACTAAATTTTTGTGAATGAATTCGATAATTTTCTCTACATTTTGACTTCATGAAATATAAATAGTAACCACATTAGAATTATTTGTCCCTTTTCTGCTCTACATTTCGCTGCACAAATTTCTCCGATATATGACTCATTAAACGCAAATGATTCAGTAGTATTTTTAGCATTGTTAAGAGCGTTACAAACCCGAGGATAACAATGCTTGACTTTTTAAAACGCCTCAATCAATTTCACTCTCCAGTAAAACGCGCCTAAAGAAGTTATTACTTCAAAAAGAAGAAAATACATTATTCAGCGTTCTTGCAAATACATTAAAAATAATAAAATAATGCACCGTACAGACCGATATATATATATATATAAACTGAAAACATTAAAAAAAAAGTGTTTTCAATTCCTTTATTTCAAATGACGCGACCACTTCCTGGCTGTGGACCTCGATCTTTTTAACCTCGGTCAAGTGACGTGGATGACATAAACTAGCAACCCCTTCTCCAAACTTCCACTCCACTCCAACGTAAGGGCTTTGAGGCTCAACAGATTTAATGCGCGTCAGCCCCCCCCCTACACGGTGTGTCTTCAATGGCACTATATTTCGAACCCGTGACTCGATAACACCGGTCACGAGTTTGCGACCATGACTCGACGATTCACTGAATCTACTCAAATGATTACTTGTTATATATATAGCTAATGAAAGAGGCATCTATGTAATAAACACACGCCTCCAGTGAAATTTGGCCGATTTCAACAAATTTTTGTCTGCCACAAAAAATATTTTGCTGTGTTGTCCTAAGGATGGTATGAAACAGGTTGCCATAAAACTTAATTTATTAATTTTAACATTGATTATTTTTTTGGCATGTAGTTAACATTTGGTGATAAGTCGCCGGCAAAAGTGTTAATACTTACGTACCGAGAAAATCACTATTAAAATGGAGCAGCTGATATAATTTGTTACTTTAATATGTATAATTTTTCAATTTTTTCTTTTTTTTATATCTTTTATGATAAATGTAGTTACAGAAATTCTGATGAAAAGAATCATTATAAAATTTCTTTTTTAATCTTTTATCTCGAAAATATTTTTTTTTTTCAATATTCCCACTATTAGTTCACAAACTCCCTACATATATATATATATATATATATATATCTTGTTCAAATTTTCAATCGTTAATGAAATACTTTCTATTCATCCATTCAAGTTCAAATATTTTTTTAAACTTGTAGTGTATGACACTTGATGTTAATACAGTTCTTTCAAATATTAATTGATTAGTTAAACTTTATTAATTAATAAATAGTAACAAACAAAAATAATAGTCCAACACTATATATAAAAAGGAAAATCGCTCGTTGTGTCCCTGTAGCGCAATGGCTAGCGCGTTGGACTTCTAATCCAAAGGTCGTGGGTTCGAATTCTACCTGGAATATCCTAATTTCTGAGAATGTGATTTATGAATGAATAAATAGTACAACACCATTAATAGAAAGGAAAATTGCTTTCTATTTTGCCACTTAATATTGTGATTCTTTCATATGTATACACATA